TACATGGCCCCTCATCAGTTATTGTACTCTCAGTCCCCTTTATTTTCCATTCCCATGAGTCTTTGGTTGCCGTGCCTTTGTCCATGATTTGTCTCCATCTCGAGGTAAGTTAGACCCTCGGTCCATTCCTTGTATCTTTCTGGGGTATCCCTCCTCTCAAAAAGCGTATTGGTGCTTTGATCCCGTTAGTCATAAGTTTTTTGTGTCTATGGTCTGAGCCATTCTTCCCTGCTTCTCCTCAAGGGGAGAGTAGTAGTGTGGAAGAGAAGTAGGTTCAGGTCCGCCAAGTATTTCTTCCTTCTTTTTCGAACCTTGCTCCCTTTCGTGTCTTCCAACGTACACGCCGTAGAAATCAGCAATGTGATAGAGATGTGGAGAAGCCAAACATTGAGCAACCGACACCGTTAGACTCCCAGGAGGTAAGTCCAATCCCTGTTGCACCTACTGGTACCCCTACTCCTACTGTGGATGACCTTGACATTCCTATTGCTCAACAAAAGGGAGTCAGGTCATGCACTACCAAACACCCCATTACCCATTTTGTCTCCTATGATCACATTTCCCCCTCATACCGAGCCTTCCTATCTGCAGTTGATTGCATCCCTGTTCCCAGAAACGTTGTAGAAGCCTTAAAATGCCCCGAATGGACAGATGCCATGAAGGAGGAGATTAATGCTCTTCACAAAAATCAAACTTGGGAATTGGTGGATCTTCCGGAGGGGAAAGACCCCGTGGGGTGTAAATGGGTGTTYACGATTAAACACAAGGCAGACGGAACAGTTGAAAGGTACAAAGCAAGATTAGTAGCCAAAGGGTACACACAAGTGTACGGGGTTGACTATGATGAGACTTTTGCTCCAATAGCTAAGATGAACTCAATTAGGGTTCTCCTGTCATTAGTTGCTAATCTTGACTGGGAATTGCATCAACTGGACATAAAGAATGCTTTTCTGAATGGTGACTTAGAGGAGGAAGTATACATGGTTCAACCCCTTGGATTCCGTGCCAAGGGAAGTGAAAATAAGGTGTGCAAGCTGCAAAAGTCTCTTTATGGCTTAAAACAATCTCCTTGAGCTTGGTTTAGTAAATTTCACATGGCAATTCAGCAGATGGGCTTCAAACAATGTCAGTCTGATCATACACTCTTTGTGAAGAGATGTTAGGAACAGGTTGCTGTATTGATAGTGTATGTGGATGATATCATCATTATAAGAAGTTGGAGTTCAGAAATACAAAAATTGAAACAATTCCTTGCATCTAAATTTGAAGTGAAAGATCTAGGTCCCCTGAAATATT